GGTAATTTACTCTTATATGCTGTTGATATTGAATCAGTAATGAACCATATACAATATACATAATATAATCAAACTGAATCTATTTTGAGTGAATTTTAAAAGTTTAGGTATGTTGTAGTGTGAATATATACTACCATTATAAGTACACACGCGTTTTATTTTAGTGATTATATTTCATACGATTTTTCGTAAATAATTAATATAGTACGTAATTTAAAGTTTCGACTAAATTCAAAATGCATTCATTATTTCAGTAATGAGTTTTTGATATATTGATAATGAAAGTCATAGATACATGTGTATATATGATTTTTAAAATAATATTAAAATTAATTATAATTATGGTATGTAGTTCTATACAAATGGGATTAATCATGACGTGTACACATAATCAAATAACGTATTTATTTACATCAATAAATCAAAATCAGGTTTTGACTTAATAACAATAAAGTAACATGAAAGCGTGAAGTAACAATTTATTTTATAAATGATTTTTGGTTTGTATCTGTCACATTCGTAGTTTTTAATGAATTGAGAATCCATAGGCCTTATGATATCCACTATTTTTCAAAAAATATCTTCATCATAATGAAGATTTCTTATTTTCTAATATTTTAGTTTTTTACATACACGTAGCTCAAGTTTATGAGATTGATTTTGTTTATAAACAAACTTCAGTAGTACACACTTGTATACATTATAATGTATCACGGTTTCGTTTGTACTTTTTAGTTAGCTGCTATTATCGTCGGCCGAAAATTAATAAGCACATTTGCGTTTATCGAGTCGTAATTTCCATGCACGAGAATACTATTTTTACCGTATTGTAGACTTGTAAGTTGTACTATACAGCCACCAAATGGCTGTATTTAAAAATAAAAAGTGTATTTAACTGGATCATTTTTTGTAACGATCCGAGGCACTTTATTACTTCTGGAAACATAGTGAATTATTGTGTCCGTAATAAGTCGGTATACATTTTGGCTCTTGGCCATCGAGACCAGTCGAAAATAAATACAGTGCGATATTATACAACTCGAAAGACGGAACTCGTATAAGTTGTAATAATAGATTTTGCTTTTCGAAATATTTCCATAATAACGTTAATAATTTTTCTTCGTAACAACCGAACTGCATAATGTTTCTAAGCAACAAGAAATATACTAATTCAAAACCAAACCAGTTAAACTGAGTTTATTTTTAATCCACTATAATAATTACAAATAGATTGCGAACAATAATTGTTTAATGTGCAAGACACTGAACAAACGGAAAAAGCCGTGTTGGTTTTGCGTTTGTATAGTTCCTATATTATTATATACACGTGTTTCAATTCGAATATGGTTAATGTTCAACAATTTGCGTAAATTAGTACAGGTACTTCTGAAAGACATAATCAATGATTGATTTTCGTAGACGAGTAGGTATTTAGTACATCATATAATTACTTATACATGTTTAATGATCGTATAAAAAACATTGATGTAACACGTAGTTTGTTTACATTTAATAATGAATGTATTTATCATAATAGATCACCGTTCGATTCACTGACACTTGTTTTTAAATTATTGATTCCGGATGGTGGAAAGAATTAAAATTCAATGTATTGAATTCTATATGCATACTTAAAAATATAATATTATAGGACTATTTAAAATAAATACATGGTTACAAGAATTTTTGGTTTTTATTTCAACGGCCGAGGGTAGAAGCATTTTATGAGGGGCGAATGATAAGTAATGCACAATCGCCGATAACTCACATTCCTAATAAGTAGGGAACGGATTTGTATGTAAATGCATATTTTTATTAAAACAAGATATTTAAGATTCGATAAGAAATGTTCATGATTTAAATCATTCCTATTAAAACGATAATATTTTTATTTTACATATTTTTATATATTTTGGTATAATTACAT